TTCTGTGAGTTTCTTTACTGGCTTCTCAATCAACAGAATTCTTGACTGAGTTCCAGCAGTAGCTCTATTGGTGGTGATGTGCAAGCTGGAAAAAACACAACCTGACTTTACATCCCAGGCTGAGCCTGTAGATAGAAACAGTCTTATTTATAAACATACTGCATCACGGATGGCAATTCCAGCAGCAGAGGACTACAAGGCACTAACAGCAGCAGAGTGCTCTTTGGCAAATGAAATCAGCTCAGAACTCCAGGCAGACATCCATATGCATCTTACTGAGAGAGACCAATTTAATTCCTTACATTATTCGATCTCACTCACTTTAATGACGACAGATATTCTTCTATTAATGTGCAAACCCAAGAACTTCCAGGTAGTTCACAATACAGTATTTCTGGTGCAGCTGTTTGCTACTGCTGTGAACTGTAGCCTAGATTCCATTAACAACACAGGCTGAGAACACTAAGTCCAGTATCTCCCAGTATAACCACCTGGACTTATCAGGGAATACCGATTTTAGAAGATGCCTTGAGAAGGCAGAAGGGAGGCCCGAAAATTTACAACTGTACATTTTTTCTGCTTTCTAAGTGTTATTACCTGCTTATGGGAAGTTCCAGTTAACAGGTACTCCTTCAGATAAATTACTTTTAAACAAATAGTGATCCACTTGCCACATGGTTTAGAAGCTGAGAAAGAAGATATTCTCAGAGTAATACATGGAAATCGGTTCCAAATTATCTAGGGAACCAGTGCTTAGAATACCTCCTTGCATCTTAAAATAACATTTTGCTTCTGCCTGATAACATTTACTGGTTCTCTTCCAACCTGAGGCCTTAATTCAAGAAGATAGCTGGGCTTATGCCTCATCAAGGATCGATGGCTCTACTTGCATGGATCAAGTTAATTGTAAACTTGAGTTACGTGTTGATGGGAAATATGAAAACAGGCTTCAAGTATGGCATCCATCCACATCACTTCTCAAATCACTGAACAAAATGTCCCTGGCCTTCTAAGAAGAATGTGGATATAAACACATCAAGTGCTAGACAGAAACACAGAACAGACATTTCTTAAATAAATGAATAGATACACATTGTGCTATTGCACTGGAATTTTAAAATAGTCTGATTTATGTTTTCCATCCCCAATGTAAGATGATAAAAAATAAGGTGTTTTGCATTATTAATAGAAAGATGCATTTAAAGACAGGACATAGAATCGTTGGCATAAAGGTCAAGTTTTAAAAGTGCACTTTTTCCTCATAGGGTGAAATAAATTACACATAATATACCTACTTTACAACTAGTAATTTAGACCCAATAGAATAATAGTTTCCATCTTGAGTGGGAAAAAAATTAAAATTACTATTTTTCTTTCCCACATAAAGATTTATTTCCTTTCCCCTAGGACCGGAAGTTATTAGTGTGTCCAACAAAAATTAATGACTTCTATCTAAAAAGTAAGATATATTCATGAAACACTGGGGGGGGGGAGAGCAAAATTCTAAATAAATACACGGATGAGAACATAAAGTAAACCTTAATAAAATCCCAGCATCTCTGATAATTAATGCTGTGGTTGTGAGTAAATATTAGTCAACCTGTATCTATGCATTTTAGCAGTGCTTCTATTAAGGTCAAAGAAAACACCCACGAAATCTAAATTCATGAATATGTAAACAGACAAAAGAGTAAGGCTACTTACAGTTTCTTATTTTAAATGCATACATAATGTATTACACAGTACAGTACAAAATATTATACATTATATTTAATGAACACATGTGCAAGGACGGGGAAATATATATTGCTATGTGTGTACATATACTTTATTTCAAAATACAAATATTTATTTTGCCGTTCCTGCTTCAAAAAATTTATCTTAAAAGGTTGTGGAACAAGCTTTTAACAGCTTTAAAGGTTTACTCGGAAAAATATTAAAAATACAGGTTTCAGAAATCAACACAAGATGGAAACTTCCAAACTTGGGTCTCCTGTTTACACCTTAAACTTTACATCTTCAGAACATCTACACAGGCAGGAACTCCAAGGTATTAATGAATTAAAATATAAATCATAGCCAGGTTCTGCAAAATCCATGCCATTCATCCTTGTGCTCATGCAGACATGGGATTTTGCTCTCCATCTTTTCAAGTACATTAGAAATAGGCTTTACGTTTTCAGAAGATTTCTGTGTGATGCAAACCAGATTAATATTATTTTTTTAATTTTTTTTTTTATCTAGATCAGCAGGTACCTGCATTCACAGGCTATTGAGCAGATCATTCAGATCTCATCTGACAGGACAGAGTTCTGCCCACAAAAAGTAAGGGCATTGATCTGTTTAAACATTGTCACCTTTAGTGCTTAAACAAAAGTGGGAAGGGTTCTGTAAAAGAAAAAAAAAAATGGAGATATAGAAGAAAAGTAAATACTCAGAGAAGGAACTATGGATGTTAGATACATGAAAATCAATTGTTTTTTCTATTTCATTCTATGTATAGAAGTCAGTATATAGTTTATATGATAAATCACATTAATGAAAAGGATGTTGAGAACAACCAGTCACTGCCAGGAAACAGAGAAAGATTTGTTGACATATTCCCAAAAGTTTTCTTCATCTTCAGGCTGATTCTCAGGCTTCATCCTTCCTGAGAATTTCAGCACAAGTGTTCATTGTTATTTTTGGAACTGACTTCTGCACTCAAGTCCTTGCTTGTATAATGTGTTTTCCTTTCCTTAAACTTTCTGTTAAAAACTTGGGTTTTAGAGAACATGCACAGGTTTCAGAATGAAAAGAATTGTTTGAACAGGCATATAATGCAAGAAGGAGATATTTTAAATAAGATGTAGTTCCTCCACTACTTTCAGAATATTTTAAAAAGTACCACTATAGTATCAGAAGACATTAATCTCTGAACCTATTCTGTAGTCTTTTCTACCTTCAATTTTCAGGATACAATAACATTCCTTTGAATAGAGAAAGTATATTTTATTATAAGCATTTTATGAAAAACAACTGTCATTATTACATAACAATATTTTACGTCAAAGTACCTGTCAAAATAAGGAGTTTATGAAAAATAATTTTATCAAAAAGACTAGAGGATGATGGAGATCTCAATGTTCTTGGGTCAGTTACTAATATCTCCATTACAGCATTAATGTGATTTAATGTGTTCAGAAATGGGTTGTGCAACTTCATTTCAAAGAACATGGTGTCAGAACTCAGGAGTCCTCCTGGAAGAAAGCTTTGGCAAGGAATAGTCAGTGGAGTCTCCACCCCAAACTTCTGGTTTCTTTTTAAAAGTTTTGCTCTGATCAAGTGCAAGCTTTTGTAAACTAAATATTTTTAAGAGAGAGAATACACAATGGCAAAATTTGTGAAGTTCATAATAAATAAGCTAATAAAAAATTGATATATCTCTTTAGGTGTAAATCTGTTTAAAGTCTTAAAGCCACTAGGTCTTCCTAGCAAATGTTCTATACTAAAAATTAGTGATACTTTCATTCTTTACATTACAGCACTACAATGTCATCTGATACCTCTACAGTCTTTTGTATAATCCTCACTTGTCCTATTAATTGCTGACATGCATTTTAAACCTGTAATGCTATTGCATAATCCCTGAAAAAGCCTTCACCAAGAAGAGAAGGGAGGGGAAAAATCACCCTTTTTGCATATGACATGTCTATCATTCAAATAAAAGTTATCATTTAACAATTCAGTATTTATAGATTATAGTTTCCTGGAACAAGTAACATATTTTTGACATCTTGTAACACACTGAAGCCCAAGAGATAGAAAAATGCAAAGCTGTAACCAGAGTAAATACTGAACTCCGCAGAGGAACGCTGGATACTAAAGAGAACGCTGGATACTAACTGTGAACAGCCGCCAGAAGGTGGCAATAGCGATACCGTACTTGCATCGACAGTTTTATATTTAGAAACTTGGTGAGGTTTTAAGCATAAAAAAATTCACTTTATAGAACTGCACTCGTACTGTTAACTTTTTATGGCACTATTCATTTCTCACCAGCCCCACAGAGAACAGAACGAAATTCTCCTGCATCCTACAGCTGCGCCTCTGGAGTTTTCCAAGAGAAACTCTATAGAGCAAAGCAAACCCAAGGATTGTAATGTTTCTGGGATTCATTTCTTTTAAACCACACTTTTATCCTACTAATCAACGCTAATTATAATACACAGAAGGTAGAAGGCTATCAGGGCAAAAACTAACAACAACAACAACAAAAATCCTCCTTTGAAACCCAACCATGAAGCGTACCGGGGTCAGACCAGGTTCTGTATTCATCAAAAAATAAATGGAAATATTTCCCTACATCCCACATGGAGAAGGACACTGAAAAGAAGTGCAGCTATAACTTCAGCACTGCAATATTCCTGAGTAGGGAGACATTACATTTTATGCAACCCAAGCAAACCATAACCAGTGGTAGAGTGAATAGAAGTGGGCCTGTGCAAAGAAGAAATGTTTGTGCCAGGTAAGAGGATTAGAAAGAAGTCAGTGGGACAGGTAAGCATGAAGTGTGTCTCATGTCCCTTCAATTTTTTCTCTCTCCAACTTCAAATAGACAACTTGCTTGCAAACCACAATCACAGACATCTCTTACAGTCTTTGCTTGCAAAACAATTCTGTAGATTTAGGTGACTAACTCAGTAGGACACAACTATGCTTATCAGATAAATAAGGCAAATGTAATCATGTGAAGAAGCATGAAAAACAACACAAAATTAACAATTCTGTCAGTATAAAATTATGCAGGTTTTAGTAGCTGTACAAAATGTTTCATGATCTGCAAAAACACTACACGTCCCAGTGAATCATTAACACAAAATAGTCAAGACCGTCCATTCTTACAGCTCTGTCTTTTTAGATTTCATATTGTTTTATTAAAAGAGCTAGTTTTGTAGGAAAAGAGTACCTATAACATTGCTCAAAATTCATTTGATACAGCCTTCATCAGCATTCCTTACCAGCAGGACAGAAAATCCCAGCTCCTGACAGGAACAAGTTTGAGATGCACAGCTAATCCGACAGCCTCTGGAGCCAGCACAATATTAAACTACCAAATAAAAAAAAAATATACCTATTATGTTCATTTTTAGTACTTTCTTAACCAACCAGCCCAGCATTTTACTAAACCTGCTTGCTATCTTTTCAAGATACACATCATGTCAAGGCCTAAATTAATTAATAAGTTCTAAATGCCCTGACCAACCTGTCTGTGAGGAAAGTAAATTTACTACAGACACTGGTGAGCAAACACCTCAGGAACAGGCTGATTTTTCAGTCCAAATACCTGCAGTATCAGCAACAATATCTAAAAAGTAGCTTATTTTGAAAAATCAGCCTATAAATCAGTAAAGTAGGCTTAGAAACTCTATTAATTAGCATCTTGCTCTGCATAACATTGGTTTTGGCATGTTTCCAATTCAAAAAATGCACACTCCTACTAATTTCAATGTCACTCAGCTTTCCTGCCACACGCAAAAGTTTCTCTACAAAAAGCACTTATGGAACAAATCTATTCAAAGAGTAGGAGAAATACTTGTTACAATGTATTGGACCAGTTAACTCTGTTCAAAATAATTAGTGCATAAATAAAAATCAAAAGTTCACATCCAAAATGTTAAGTAATTAAAAATACTACTTACTTTGGCTTCAGAGAACAGGTGACACTGCAAGTCATCTAGTCATTGCTACTGTAATACATAGTATTACAGTAATTCACAACTATTTTTAAAATCAAATTTACTAGTATAATGCATTATAGTTGTGACTATTGACTCATTCAAAATTTTGTATTCTGTGGATAATTAGCTATAGGACAAAATCGTTTGCTTTAGGGTTTAATAGGCTGTGTAAGTAATGTCACAGATTTAATTTTTTTTTAAATCACCTCAGTAGAAATGTGCCAGACGATCCTTTAGTCTTACTATCCTTTTTTTTTTTTGCCTTGGGAGCTGGAAAAAACCCAAGATTGGTCATACGTTACTGTGCTTGCTGTGTTTTATTCAAATACACCAATGCATCTGCCATCATAATTGGAAAAACACAATTTAGGAGCAGTCAAATCTTAAAATTTCTTCTTTACTTTGCGCCTCCCTGTGGCTGAATCCCTCACACAGAACAGGCTACAGGATCAGCGCCTGGGCTCAGCATCTTATTAGATTTTATCAGATTCAGTATTTGTAATAAGGAACACTTGGATAATTTGAAAATAGTTGGCCGTGCTGCGGCCGAAAAATTTAAATATGTTTTAATAGTATTACACCGGCTGAGCTAGTCGGGTAAAAATCTGTTTGGATTTACACACTGCTTTCCCACGAAGATGGGGGGAAATCCGCACGATTTTATATATTTATAACGATTTTAAAATATCCTGAGAGGAGGCGTTGCCCGTGAGGGAGTCGCGGTCCCAAGACCAGAGAGAGCAGCCAGGCAAATCTACCCCATTGACCAGCGGCTGCAAGGACAAATAAAAACACGCGGCACTGCCTTTCAGTGTTTTATATACATATATATATATATATATCTATGGGTAGGTACGTGACGCATGTATGAAAGGGGAAAGGGACGAACGCCCGGTCCCTCCAACGCGCCGCGGAGGCGGGCCCGGCGCGGCCGCCCCGCCCGTCCCGAGAAGTGGGTCGGGCGGTGCCGTGATGGGAAGTGGCGCGGCGGCGGCCCCGGCCGTTGAGCGGCCCCGGCGTGTGGAGGGTCCGGCGGGCCCCGCAGAGCAGTCGCCGACATGTCGCGGGGCTCCATCGAGATCCCGCTCCGGGACACCGACGAGGCGAGTCGGGCTCTGGGAGGCGGCGGGAGGGGCTGCGGGAGGAAGGGTGGTCCGTGCCGGGGCGCTGCCCCTCGTAGTTGTGCCCCGGGGGTCGGTGTCGCTGCTTTCCCTGAGGTGCCGCAGGTGTGTGTCCAGGGGAATTCTCTCCGAGGGTTGTTCTGTCAAATTTTTCTGACCTCGCTGTTTGTAAACAGCTTGGCGCTACTCAGACAGGCAGGGCAGCGGGTCCTCTGGGGAAAGTTACTTCAGGGTGGGTTTAGAAACTTAAGTAAGTTTTCTTTAGTTACGATACACGGTCCCAAGCCAAGGTTAAAAAGATTTAAGCGAAGTGTTTGGAAATTTCCAGGGCGTTCTAAAGCTAGAAGTTAAATCGTTCCATATCAGATACTAAGTGAATAGTGTAGCTAAGGAAGTTATTGAAACATAACTGCTTACAGGTTGAAGAATATTCTCTGTGAACATATGCATCCACGCCCTTTTATATATATGTTTGTATATATATTTTTATATATATCTATATATACACCATACATATATATACACATACATGTATACACATATGTCATATGTATATATAGAAAAAAAATTTCACGTGACCGTCATTGAATTTTTAAGTCTCACAAAGGTGCTTTATGGATTTTGCATGTTGGAGGGCATTTTCTTCTGTGACAGAAGTTTCTGTGTGAGGTGTCGACATGGATAGTTGATCACGGTGCTGCTCTTCAGGTTCTGCCTGGGACTACTTAGATCCCAAAGTTTGAATTAATCACTAAAGATTGCTTTAAAACACTACTCTCCTTCCCTCCCACCCTTTTTTTTTTACTTCCATTTTGTGTTCGCTGAGTTGGTAATACCTATTTCTCATTAATAACTGTATTAGTTCATGGATGAGTGTTGCCCGAATTTGAAAACATCATTATCTGTTCAAACAGGAGGTACTGTGCAAGACAAAACTAAGGGTAGTGGCAGAAATATTTTTGCTGGTCCTCTGAAGTCTTGCATAGGCAAAGCTATAAGCCCATATAAATTGGATTGCTTTAATTCAGCCTAGAGAGAAGGAGTCCTTGCATTGGTAATCAGGGTACAAGCCTGGGTACAACTGCACCTCTCCCTGGCTGTCAAATTGACTTGTAACATAGATGACTAATATTAAAGGTAGCATGACTGAGTAGCAGGTGAACTAACAGGCAGTTAAATTGTGTTCCCAAATATCCCAATATCTGTTCCTTTTTCCTAGTTTTTTAATATCAGAAGAGTGGATCAACATGGGAAGACAGTCTTGCAAAATAATCTTTGCATGATGAAGAGTTAATGTGGTTTACTGATGATGACTGCAGTTGTGAATTTTCAGAAATTTAGTTGTCTCTTACTTTCCTTGGGCATTGAGAGGACTTTATGAAATTTCAGGACTCTGAGATAAGTCTCGAGTATTGGCCCTCTGACATCTGATAACTTGGAATATTTTGACTCTGTCCTAGCTTTTTGTATTACCTGTAGGAAAAGTTTTAGAAATTCAGCAGTGTGCAGTCAAGTTGATTATTAGCTGGACTGTAAAAATTCCAAGCCTGAAGTCCACAGTGAAAGAAGTTGAGTTAACATCTCTGCTTATTCTCCCTGAGTGGTATTCCAAATATTGGGTTGTCTTTTCTGTGTTATTTCTGAGAGGCTGTCGCTTTGGTCTTGTACAGAATACATTACCTTATCTCTTCCTTCTTTGTCCGTAACCTTGTTTAAACACAAGCAATTATTTATGTTTTGTGCTCTGAAATGTCCAGCTTCCTTTGAGCTCAGTGATAGATGGTGTTTATTAATGTTTTGTGAAAAGCTAATCTGTGCTGTTTGGTTCTAGGTTATCGAGCTTGACTTCGATCAGCTGCCTGAGGGTGATGAAGTGATAAGTATCCTGAAACAGGAGCACACCCAGCTGCACATATGGATTGCCTTAGCGGTTAGTAGATATACAGATTGTGTATTTAAATGTTATATTCACAGAACAATAATAATTTCCACTTCCTTGCTTTTGTGGCCAGGGATAACTGAATCCTGAACAGGAACTTAATGGGATCATTCAGTCACTGACTCGAAGCCTGATATTTCTGATTTGACATATGCATATTAAGATCTTAATTTCATCCTTTTTTCGTGAAGCAGTGCTGCTTGAGGCTTGCTTTCTGAGTTGTTTTTTTATATTTCAGTCAATAGTTTTCCTGATTTGTGCCTCTGGTTATGCACTTCATAAAAAAGGAGGGGGCAGTGTCTATACTATGGAAAGTGTGGTGAAATGTGCAAAAAGACAAAAGTTCAGAGGAAAGCCATTGGAATCTTTACTTATAAATACCTCACAACCTGGTGTTTTAAGATGGTGAGTCACTGGGACATGTTGCCCAGAGAAGCTGTGGATGCCCCATCCCTTGAAGTGTTCAAGGCCAGGTTGGACAGATCTCTGAGCAACCTGGTCTAGTGAAAGATGTCCCTGCCCATGGCAGAGGGGTTGGAAGTAGATAATCTTTATGATCCCTTCCAACCCAAACCATTCTATGATACCATGACAAAAATATTTGGTGTTATCAGAATGCCTCTGTCTGGTGATCCCTACATTTACATCTGTTTCATCCCTACATACTGGAAAAAGAACCTGTGTGACACCCAAAGCATGCACTTGATATGTTATGTGCTTGCTGGGGTAGCACTGTGTGTTAAAACTGTGTGTTTCCTAGCTGGAATACTACAAGCAAGGGAAAACAGAAGACTTTGTGAAGCTGTTGGAAGCTGCACGCATAGATGGCAACCTGGACTACAGAGACCACGAGAAGGATCAGATGACCTGTCTGGACACCCTGGCAGCCTACTATGTGCAGCAGGCTCGGAAGGAGAAGAACAAAGACAACAAGAAGGAGCTCATTACCCAGGCTACCCTGCTGTACACTATGGCTGACAAAATCATCATGTACGATCAGGTAAAACCAGGATCTGCTTAAAAATCCATATTTGTAAATGATTTAGTTATTGTAAAGAGAGCAAGTGTTGATTCACTAAAGGGAAGATAGGAGCTGCTCAGGCTTTAAAGTTTTAGTGTCGTACATGTAAGCAAAACTTGTAAATATCTAAAATGTGTGTGGTATCACCAGGAATGATTATCTCTAGCTTGACACATGTGATAGAACTACTTCAGTCAACTCTTGGGGGTTGGGAAAGAAGCATTTATTGTTATTCTCTTGCTTGGTGATATGTGAACTTTAGAAGGGATGATGAAGACCCTTTCTGTTTTATTTTACTGCTGATGTAAGATAAATCAATCATAGAAAGCATTGTAGTGTAGCCAGTTAATCTTTCCTGTAGTCCAAACTTCATATTTTACAAAGATAAATTTATTGCAAATTCTTTTTCTTGATTAGAATCACTTGTTGGGAAGAGCCTGCTTTTGTCTGCTTGAAGGTGATAAGATGGACCAAGCTGATGCACAATTCCACTTCGTGCTCAACCAGTCTCCAAATAATATTCCTGCCCTTCTCGGTATGAGTTTATGGGTATTTGTAAAAACCTGGTCTTTGGAGTTGAGTTTTGAAATGGATTATGTAGTTAAGAGGGCTCATATGTGAGTAGACAGGGTGTGATCAAGAGGTGACCAGAAACACGTGACAGAGGCTACTTTACACTTGGGAAGCATGCATAGGTGGAAGAGCTGGGAGAAAGTGGAATGTTAGCTGGCATCTTCTGAGACTTGTGGGCATACATACAGTCCAACTACTTATACTTCCCTGATGATGCCAGTGAGGCTGTGCACTCTGTTGAGGGTGAAGATACTGCTGGTGAGGGGTCAGTGGGCTGTAACACTTGTGATTTAAGTTGTTCACTAGTCTTAGTAAGTGTCTTTCCTCTGGACCAGGAAGGAATTAAGTTTCTGAAAAAAAAAAAAAAGGAAACATAAATTTAATGTGTTCCCAGTTTGATTTTTTTTTTCATGTACTTGACATCATCAAAGATAACCAAAGATGTAGTTGTCTGAATTTTCTGTTAGTTTTTAGCTGTAACTTTTGAAAATTGGTACAATTTACTGAATAGTACTTGTGTTTCTGGTTTATAACTGCTTTGTTTTTACTTCTGATTTATCCATAACAGGTAAAGCATGCATTTCTTTCAACAAGAAGGATTACAGAGGAGCCCTTGCCTACTACAAGAAAGCACTGCGTACCAATCCAGGGTGCCCAGGTAAGGCAGAAGGTATTTGCTACTGGAAGTATTTGCAGTCCTTGCAAACTAATTAGATTCAAAGGGCATTTTTGTGGTTTATATCTGTCAGAAGAACCCCAACCCTCATTACAGAGGAGTTCAGGTGTTCATTGACTTGAAATATTTCTTAATTGTTAGAGAAGGAAATTGTGTTTAGGAAAATACTGGGTTTTTTTTCTAAGTATTACCTTTTAAAGACCTATTAGAAAATGAGAAGTTGTATGGGGAGGAAACTGTTCAAGACTCCTGAAAAATTTATCTGTGAACTCTTGGAATAAGGA